TTGTCTGGGTTTGTTCATTTCTTTAAAAGGCATGTTATCACACCCCCTCCCCACTCAGCTGTTAAGAAAATTGAAGTTGCTTCATGTAAGCGACTTGGAATTATGCCGGGCACATGGAAAACACTCAAAAATATTAGCCAAGCCGGGCTCGGTGGCTCAGCCTGTCATCCCGCACCTTTGGGAGGCTGAGGTGAGTGGATTGCCTGTGCCCACGGGTTCGAGACCCGTCTGGGCAGCGAGACCTCATCTCTACAATAAATCAAAAAAATCAGCCGGGCATGGTAGCACATGCCTGTAATTCCGGCTACTCGGAAGGCTGAGGCGGAAGGATCGCCGGAGCCCAGCAGGCGAGGCTGCGGTGGCCGGGAGCGGCCACTGCACTCTAGTCTGGGCAACCGAGTGAGACTCAACTCAAAAAAAAATAAAAATAAAAATAAAAAGATTATAGTAAATACTTAGGGACCCTTCACTCAAATATGAAATTACCTACATCCTACATCTGTTGATATGTTTTTTTCCCATTCCTGTGCTGCCTCACTTGCATAGATAGCTCCCACTTTATTTTGGATTTGTTATTTCATTACTTATATTGTAGGAAGATTTGGTGGTTGGTTTTATATATATATGTGTATATATATAAAGATTATTCAGATATTTTACTTTTCTCTTGTGCCAATTTTGGAAATTTGAGTCATTTAAGAGATTTGTCCACTTTATTTGTCTACTCATTACTTTTTAAGATTGTTTTATCTTAAAGTAGTAAATTTTCTATTATGTATGTTTTACCACAATAAAAAAGTTGAAAAAATAAATTTAAGGTATATACATATCATATTTAGAATGCCGTTAAAAACTGATCAACAGCCTGTAATCCCGCGCCTTTGAGAGGCTGAAGTGGGTGAATTGCCTGAGCCCGCGGGTTTGAGACCCGCCTGGGCAGCGAGACCTCATCTCTACAATAAATCAAAAAATCAGCCGGGCGTGGTGGTGCATGCCTGTAATTCCGGCTACTCGGAAGGCTGAGGCGGAAGAATCGCTGGAGCCCAGCAGGCCGAGGCTGCGGTGGCCGGGAGCGGCCACTGCACTCCAGTCTGGGCGACAGAGTGAGACTCCAACTCCAAAAAAAAACAACTAATCAACATTCTCAAAAAAGTAAAAGATTGTTTCATTGTACTCTCGTGTGTTTGTGTACCTCTGTGTGTGTATTTTGCTTTTTTTTTTTGAACATCAAAAAAAGTATCAGCTTATATTGTTTTCTGGAATTTTCACTCCTCATTCAACAATATGTTACCAAGACTCATGACGCATGTAACTATAGTTCACTCACTTTTTTCTGCTGTAGTTAGTTGCATGAATATAACACAATGTATTTATCCATTTTCAGGGATAGTTTGAAAGTGTTTGCTTGTAGTTTTTTGTTTTTGCAAACAGTGTTGCCATGAAAATTCTGTAAATGTGTCCTCATGCACATATATAGGAGTTTCTGTTAGGCTCCTTGAACTGAATTATAAGGTAAGCAAAAAGAGAGCTTTACTAGATGATGCTCTATTATTTTCTAAAATGGTTATACCCATTCACACTACACTTGCATTAATTGAACAAGTCCATAGATCCACGTCCTCTTAAATAGTTGACATTATCAGGTTTTTAGGTTTTTTCAATCTAGTAAATATGAAATAGTACCTTATCATGGTCTTAATTTGCTTTTCCCTTATTACCAAGAAAGTTGACTACTTCTTCATATGTTGATTGGCCAATATATATCTTCCATGAAGTGTCAGTTCATAACATTATGTTCATTTTTATTTTGGAGTGGAGTAAATTTCTCAACCATATTGTGAGTTTATTTATTTTTCCTTTCAACTCAGCTTCTTGTTCATGTATTTTGAGGCTCTGGTGTTGGTGCATACAGATTTAGGCTTGTTCACCTTTTTATCATTTTGTGACATCCTTCCTTGTCATATTTTCTTTGGTCTGTAGATAATAAAATACTTAGTAGATAATAAAAATGAATCGCTTCTGAGAAAGATTTTCTAAACAAGGTACAAAAGCATTAATCACAGAATAATCAATTTGTCTAACCCAAATATAATAAACATATATATATGTTTCTGAGCTATTTCCTTTTTCCCTTTGGCCACTTATAGCTATGCCTACATCACACTGCCTCAATGTCTATAATTTCATCATAATACTCATAATTCTAATTCCCCATAGACAAGTTCACCTGCTTTATTCTTCTTCAGAGTTACCCTACTCTTTTAAATTCCACTATCAGCTTGTCGGTATCTATGAAATCCCTATTGAGATTTTTATCTGATGTATTGAATTTAGAGAGTAATTTGGGGAGAATTGACGATGTTATAGTGGTTAATCTCTTTTCATATAGATCTTCTTTAGTGTGTTGTTTCATGATTTTCTTCATCTAGATGTTACCTACTTTGTTGACCTAGTTTGTTGTTGTTTTTCTTTTTTGTTTTTTATTCTTTTAAGAAACAGGGTTTTGCTCTGTCACCCAAGCTAAAGTGCAGTGGTACAATCATAGTTCACTGTAACCTCAAACTCCTTCACTCAAGTGGTCCTCCTGCCTTAGCCTCCCTAGTAGCTGGGACTACAGGTGCACACCACCATGCCTGCTAGTATTTTCATTTTTTATAAAGATGAGCCTCATTATATTGCCCAGGTTGGTCTTCAGCTCCTGGCCTCAAGTGATCCTTGTGCCTCAGCCTCACAAAACACTGGGAAGACAGACCTGAGCCACTGCACCCAATCTCACTTAGTCTGTATTTAGACATAGCAGATTCATGATGTTCCTCCAGTTGCTTTTTACCCTCCCTCACTTTTACATAAGCCAGAATCCTGAGAATCTGTTTATCATGTGTCCCTGCCTGCCTCTCCATCCTCATCCCCATCGTTATCTTACCCCATTCACTTTGCCTGGCATTCAGCATTCTCTCAAGACTTTCAGCCTTTGTACTTTCTGTCTTCATCTGCTGTAAATAACCTCTTAATTCCTCTGTCTGGGAACTCCTACTCTCCTTTAGAAATAATCTCACATAGCACATTTTCTTGGTAGCTTCCACTGATCTCTTTCTGTCTCCCATCTGAGCCAAGTTGAGTGTACCTTTCCTGTGTTGTCATAGTGCCACAAGATTCCCTCTCTTAGAACACATTAATTGCACATCTTGTAATTATTACTCTGCCCACTCTCCCCATTTAAAAGGAAAAAGAGGAGTCTCCACTCCAGTTTTTTTGTCCCTGCTCCAGCTTTTCCTCCTGGGCTTCCTTTTACAGATGTCAAGAGCCCAAAGTTTAGGAAAGAAAGAAATTGTAAACCTGGATTTAAGACCTGTAAAAATGTAGTAGGTATCAGAAGCACTATTTTCACCTTCATTTGTCTACTAAAATGGTGATTTTGTTCTATGTTGACATCACTAATAGAAACCTTTTTTATATTGGATTTCCTTCAGGTGAAAAAGCAAAACCTGAGACCAAAGAGCCTACTGCTTCTCACCTGGCCTTCTCTGAGGAATCCTCTTTCCAGGAAGAACTAGCACAGAGATCATCAAGAGATTCCAGGTTGGGGCAAGCTAGGGATAAGGAAAGGATATCAGAAATGCAGGAAGGGAACTTGAGGCCAGGAAAACTCTCCCTCAAAGAGACCTGCCCTGGGAAGTTGAGCCATAAAAATAATGACTTGGAGACAGACAATAGTCTGGGCTTAAGGGTTTTACAGGAACGAGTTATTCCACGAGATGCTCTTCATAAACATGATTCTAAAGAACCAGGAAAAGACACCCTGATTGATGCAAGGAATAATGCTTACAAATGCAAGGAATGCGGAAAAGGGTTTAGCAAGAATTGGACCCTTGTTCGACATCAACAAATTCATGATGGAGTGAAGCCCTATGAATGCAATGAGTGTGGGAAAGCTTGTCGTTATATGGCTGACTTCATTCGCCATATGAGGCTTCATACTGGGGAAAAACCATACAAGTGTGGTGAGTGTGGGAAAGCCTTCAAACGCAGGACTCACCTCACAGAACACCAGCGTATTCATACTGGGGATAAACCCTATGAGTGCAAAGAATGTGGTAAAGCCTTCACTCACCGCTCATCTTTTATCCAGCATAATATGACTCACACTAGAGAAAAGTCCTTTTTATGCAAAGAATGTGGGAAAGCTTTTTACTATAGCTCTTCATTTGCTCAACACATGAGGATTCATACTGGAAAGAAACTCTATGAGTGCAGTGAATGTGGAAAGGCCTTTACTCACCGCTCCACATTCATCCAGCATAATATGACCCATACAGGAGAAAAACCATTTTTGTGTAAAGAATGTGGAAAAACTTTTTGCCTCAACTCTTCCTTTATTCAACATATGAGGATTCACACTGGAGAGAAACCCTATGAGTGCAATGAATGTGGAAAGGCTTTTACTCATCGTTCCACTTTTATCCGGCATAAGAGGACACATACTGGAGAGAGACCGTTTGAGTGCAAAGAATGTGGGAAGACCTTTTGTGACAGCTCTTCCCTAATTCAGCATAAGAGGATTCACACTGGTGAGAAGCCCTATGAGTGCAGTGAATGTGGAAAGGCCTTTACACACCACTCTGTTTTCATCCGACATAATAGGGTCCACACTGGAGAAAAACCCTTTGAGTGCAAAGTATGTGAGAAAGCCTTTTGTGACAACTTTGCCTTAACTCAGCACATGAGAACTCACACTGGAGAGAAACCTTTTGAATGCAGTGAATGTGGAAAGACCTTCAGCTACAGTTCATCCTTCACTCACCATCGAAAGATTCATACAAGAGTTTAAAAGACACAGAAGGACCTTTTGCAAGTGTGTTCACCTAACTTTAGTGAACTCATACTGGTGGAATACTTTTTCTTTTGAATATAACTGTTGAGGAAAATCTTTTGGCCAGAGAAATGTCTTGCTTGGTATCTGAGAATTCATACTAAACAGAAACTTCACAGTTATCATCCCTATGAAAGCTTTTTATGGCAAGTAATCACTTGTCATACAAAGATTATATTTGATATTGACCCAGTCTAGAGCCTTACACTACACCTGAGAGTCATCCAGAAGAGCAATCCAGTGATCATCATTCATTTAGGTAAAATGACAGCAACAGCCTTCCTCTTACTAATACCACAAATCCATCTCAAGAATATTTTAAAAGAACAATGAGAGATGCAGGAAGAGGCTTAGAAGAAAACAGGGAAGAAATGCATGCATGGCTTCTTTTCAATGTCCCTTTTAAGTTTATGACAATTTGTCATCCTGAAGGATAGGGTGGACCGTGAGAGATTAAAAAGGCCTCATCCCCTTAATGTGTTTTCTGTATGTATATATCCAGAGGCAAGTGAGTAGGACCACTGAGGACAACTCAGCCAACATTTATTAGAACTTTATTTTTGTTGCAAAACATTGTCATCTCTACCCTTAAGGAAGGGTAAATCTTTGTGAAAAATGTAAAGGCTTGAATCATGAAATACATGTACACACATACATTTATATATATGCAGTAAATTCTTGTTATTCGTGGTACGTGTGTCCTGTGAACTTACTATGCACACTCAATTAGTGAATACTGAACCATCGTTGCTAGTGGAGATACAGGGTTAGATTCAGTGAGCCTCTGACCCAAACATTTTCATCAACCTATCAATAAGTTACCATTATGAGTGTTTCTTTCGGCTTAAAAACAACTTATCTGATGTTTCTTAAAATGTATAATTACTATTTATAATAAAGATATTTTAATTATGGCATTTTTGGCATAATATACTCTTGTTTTTGTACTGCTTTAACCTTCGGTTATATACATGGAGTACACATATACAGTAGTCATATACAACAGTAAATACTGTACAATACTCTATACAGCAAACAGTACTGTGAACACATTCTGTACTATATAGTCATGCAAATAAGGATAGTCCTAGAAAAAAAAGATTAAATACAATCAGTTAAAAATTAAATTTCTACATTTGATGGAGCTACAAGATGTGTGATGGACAGCGCACTGTGTGGTTAAACTTCTTAGGGAGAGGTTGCTGGAATCTCTTCTGCAGAAGAGGAAGACATTTTATGAGGATGACATATCAACATCTGGCAGTTCTACCTTAGGAGTTTGACTCTTGCCACTTGCTGACAGTAATTTTCCCTCTCATACTGGCTTGAAAAATTAATCAGCCTTGTCTACTTGGCTTTGCTTTTTTGTATTATTATTATAAAGATGTGGGGTACAATTCAGGGTCAGGTATACAAACATTTATCCAGGTACCCTTGTGGATGAGGTATGCCCCTCCCACCCCTAGCAATTTCCCTCATCCGCCAATCACTCCCCTCCCTTGACAGTTTCCCACTATTGCCAATCCCTTTATTATAGTATTACGATTGTTAAAGGTCCACTTATGAGTAAGAACATACAGTACTCTGTTCTTTGTTTCTATGAGAGATCACTGAGTTTGATCAACTCCAAATCCATTCAAGTTGCTGTGAAGTTCATATGTTTGTCCTTTTTTATAGCTGCATAATAATCCATTGTGTATATGTACCATATTTTTTTTATCCAGTCCAGCTTAGATGGGCAACATGGCTGGTTCCATGTTTTTGCTGTTGTGAATAGAGCTTCAACAAACATACGTGTGCAGGTATCTTTTTTTTAGAATGATTTGAGTTCCTCCAGGTATATTCACAATAGGGGAATTGCTGGGTCATATGAAAGGTCAATTTCTAGTTCTTTCAAAAACCGCCACACTGTCTTCCAAAGAGGTTGCACTAGTTTGCATTCCTACCGGCAGTGTAGAAGCATTCCTTTTTCTTCACGTCCTCACAAGCATCTGTTGTTTGTTTTATTAATGATGGCCATTCTTACTGGGGTTAGGTGGTATCTCATTGTGGCTTTGATTTGCATTTCTCTGATGAGTGAGGCCAAGTACTTTTTCATGTGTCTGTTGGCTGCCCATATATCATCTTCTGAGAAATGTCTATTCATGTCTTTTGCCCACTTTTTCATGGGGCTGTTTTTTTTTTTTCCTTTTGGTGTACTTGAGGTCCTTGTAGGTCCTAAATGTTAGGCCTTTGTCAGATATACAGTTTTCAAATATTTTTCCATTCTGTGGGCTGTCTCCCTGCTCTCTTGATGGTTTAGTTTGCTTTGCAGAAGATTGTAAGTTTGACAAAATCTCACTTGTCTTGTCTTATTTCTTAAGGTATTGGCCTTTAGGGTTCTGAATAGGAATTGGTTGCCAGTTCCAGTTTCTACAAGGGTGTCTCCTGCGTTTTCTAAGATTTTTATACTTTGAGGTTTTATGTTTAAGTCTTTGATACATTTAGAGTTAATTTTTGTGTATGGGGATAGGTAGGGGTCCTGTTTCAATCTTCTGCATGTGGTCAGCCAGTATTCCCAGCACCATTTACTGAATAGGTTCTCCTCTCCCCAGTGGTTGCTGTTGGAGGCTTTGTCAAAGATGAGTTGGTTGAGGAATTGAGGCTTTGCTTTCGGAATCTCTATCCTGTTTCATTGGTCTTTGTGCCTGTTTTGTACCAATACCAGGCTGTTTTGATTACTGTAGGCTTATAGTAAAGTTTGAAGTCTGGAAGTGTGGTACCTCCTGCTTTGTTTCTTTTGCTAAGGATTGTTTTGGCTATTCATAATCATTTATATTTCCATATGAATTTCTGTATTGTCATTTCCAGGTCTGAGAAGAATGCTGTTGGTAACTTAATGGGTATTGCATTGAATCTGTAGATTGTCTTTGGTAAGATGGACATTTTAATGATGTTGATTCTTCCTATCCATGAGCATGGAATATTTTTCCATTTGTTAGTGTATTCTTGAATTTCTTTGAGTAGTGTTTTGTAGTTCTTATTGTAAAGGTCTTTTACTTCTCTGATTAGGAAGATGCTGAGGTATTTCTTTTTTTTTTTTCTTTTTTTTTTGTGGCTATTGTGAATGGGTTTGTGCTTTTAATTTGGGTCTCTGCCTGCTTGTTGTTGGTGCATAGGAATGCAACTGTCTTTTGCACATTTATTTTGTATGGTGAGACTTTGCCAAAGTCCTTTATCAGTGCAAGCAGGTTTTTGACAGATTCTCTTGGATTTTCAAGGTATAGGGTCATATCAGCCAAGAGGGATAACTTGACTTCCTCTTTTCCCATTTGGATACCCCTGATTTCCTTCTCTTGTTTAATTGTTCAAGCCAGGACTTCCAACACAATGTTGATCAAGGTGGGTGAGAGTAGACAGCCTTGTCTTGTTCCAGTTTTCAGGGGAAATGTTTCCAGTTTCTGTCCATTTAGCAGTATGTTAGCTGTGGGCTTATGGTATATGGCACTTAGTATTTTGAGGAATACTCCTTCTATATCTAGGTGTTTGAGGGTTTTTATCAAAGAATGCTGGATTTTATCAAAAGCTTTTTCTGCATCTAGTGAGATAATTATGTGGTTCTTGTTTTTACATCTGTTGATGTATTTAATTACATTTATGGTCTTGCAAATGCTGAACCAGGCCAGCATCCTGGGGATGAAGCCTTCTTAGTCATGGTCAATGATTTTTGAGATGTGTTTTGGGATCCAATTTGCTAGAATCTTGAGGATTTTTGCATCTATGTTCATAAGAGATATTGGCCTGTTGTTCTCTTTTTTTGTTGCATCTTTACCTAGTTTGGATATCAATGTGATGTTGGTTTCATAAAATGATTTGGGGAGAGTTCCATATTTCTCAATTGCCTGGAATACTTTCAGTAGGATTGGTATCAGCTCCTCCTTGTACATTTTGTAGAATTCTGCCGGAAAGCCATCAGTCCAGGGCTTTTTTTTTTTTTTTTTTTTTTTGAGGTAGTTTTCTTGTGACCGAGTCAATTTCCTGGGTTGTTATTGGTCTATTTAGTATTTCAGTGTTTTCTTGTTTCAACCTGGGGAGGTTGTGTGATGTCAGGAAGTCCTCCATTTCAATTAGGTTATCAAGTTTGTTTCCATACAGGTGTACATAGTAATCTCTAATAATCTTTTGTATTTCTTCAGGGTCAGTTGTGATTTGATCTTTTGTATTTCTGATTGTGTTTATTTTGTCTTTTTCCCTCTTTTTCTTGGTCATTCTGGCTAGGAGTCCATCAATCTTGCTAATTCTTTCAAAGAACCAGCTTTTTGTTTTGTTAATGTTTTCTATGATATTTTTGTCTTCTGTGTCCCATATTTGGGCTCTTATTTTGGTGATTTGGATTCTTCTGTTAAAATTGGGATTTTGGTGGTCTTCTCTTTCTAGCTCCCTTAGGTGATTTGTTAGGCTCTCCACTTCTGATCTTTCGATTTTCTTGATGTGTGCTTGTAGAGATATCAGTTGCCTCTTAGAACTGATTTCATGGCATCCCTGAGGTTTTGGTAAGATGTTTCTTCATTTTCATTTGTTTCCAGGAATCTTTGAATTTCTGCTTTGATTTCAGTGTTGACCCAGTAGTCATTCAGCATCATGCTGTTTAACGTCCATCTCCTTGTGGGCTTTGGGGAAATGTTGTTGGTGTTAATATTTATTTTTATTCCACTGTGGTCTGAGAATGTGCATGACACTAGTTCAACCTTATGGATTTTTTTTTTTATGCTTGATTTATGGCCAAGCATATGATCAATCTTGGAATATGTTCCATGTGGTGATAAGTAGAATGTATATTCTGTGGTTGTTGGATGGAATAATCTGTAGGTATCTATTAAATCCATTTGGTCGAGTGTCAAGTTTAGATTCTGGATCTCCTTGTTGATTTTTTGCCTCAATGATCTATGTAGGGCTATAAATGAGGTATTTTAGTCTCCTGCTATAATAGTGTTACAGTCAATATCTTTTTTTAGTTTATTTAGTAGTTGCTTTATAAATGATGGTGCTCCTCTATTGGGTCCATATATGGTTAGGATAGATATTTCTTGTTGATGGATTGAACCTTTTATCATTATGTAATGTCGTTTTGCATCTTTTTAAATTTTTGGTGGCTTAAAGGTTATTTTGTCTGATATTAAGATTGCAACTCCTGCCTTCTTTTTGATCCT